AAAATTCTACTGGTATATGTATGGCACTGCCTTAGGGAGTACTTGATCATCACTGAACAACCCCTTGGTATACGCCCATAAGTTACATGGACTATATTGAACAGGTCAATAAGCCACTAGGCCTTAGAGTATGATGATTGATGAAACCAGTTCGAAGCTAACCTTCCCAAATGAAAAAGAATGAATAATGTAGGCTGTAGCAACCGGCCAGCTTGCGTACTTACCAGCAGTTGAAATATACGTAGTTTATTAATTACCTCATATTTTGAATATTTTTAAAATAACAATTTCGGGCTCAGAGGGTTGGCATGGTTCATTCCGTGCATTGAGTCATTCGGGTTACTTTATTCACATCATTATTATTTCTTTCTTGTGACTCTCTACCAGACGCTACGCTCGCGAGGCTTTCCTCAATGGTATGGTAATATGGCCCCGATCGGTTTGCTTAAATTTGGCTGAAACTGGCTGAACAATACTGTTCCGGCTGAATTATTATGAGAGAAAAACACTATTCTGGCTAAAAAAAAGCCAAACAAGCCGGTTTTAAGGTAAGCCGAACAAGACCTATTTATACTAAATCCGTTTTAAATTATAGTTCATTCGACTTTTTTTACCCCAAGTTTGACCACTCGTCTTATTAAAAAATCTATGATAAACATCACTTCTTTTTTCGTGGCTTGCTTTATTAACAAAAGTTGTTCAAGAATAACTTAAATTTGACTATGTTTGTATAATTTTTTTTAATAAGACGAGTGGTCAAACTTAGGGTCAAAAAAGTTAAACGAATCAACCGTGGGAAGCTGAGAACCATTCAACTTCCATTGTAAAAGCATCTCTGAGAGTCATTGGACTCAATCTCTAGATCCTTCTTCAGAGAAGTAATGCAATAAAAATTGCTCTCTATATCTCTCCACCCTGCTACAACTTCTTTATATTTTGTGCGCACTTTGAAGAGCTGGCTCTACTCTCTATCTTTGGCTAGTCAGAAACCAGGAACAGAGGATGACATTGGAGATCTAATTGAAGAACCTTTTCAAAGGGTGTAGTCGAATGGGGCGGCGTCCTCCGCTCCGGCGTCCACAGGCGGAACTCCAGCGGCAGCGGACCTCCTTCTCCTTCCTACTCTCTCCCTCTCGGGCCTCGGTGTGTGTGGTTTGGAGTGCCACCAGTGGCGGCAGGTATGGGAAGGGTGCTAGGGCACCAGAGTGTGCCTTATATAGTCGACCTTGGCTATGGCGCGGCGGCGGACGGCGGGGAGAGAGTGAGGGACATGTTAGGGTGATCGGGGCCTCAGGGTTAGGGCTCCAGGGTGTGTGGGAGCTAACGCGGCTTGGCGCCCTCCAAATCGGACGTCGGCGGTCAAGGCAAGGACGGGGTGACGTGAATGTAGGGAGCCGGGGTTGGCAGACGTCAACCGGTGGTGCGGGTGCGAGTTGGGGCAGGTTAGGGGCATCGCGAATCACGAACGTGGCATGCATCCATGCAAGGACGAGCAACGGCCGAATCACGTATGACAGAGATGCGAGGCGTAGCCTCGGATCCTCGCCGGCAGCAGAGGAGAGGGGGGTGAAGGGGATGACAGGTGGGGGCCATGGGGTCCACCCATCAACGGCGCTAAGAGGGGAAACGAGCGCGGGCGCGGGCGGCTTTTGGTCCGGGCACTTCTGGCTCGGGGCGATGGCTTCTGCACGGGGCACCTTTTGGCGAGTGCAGGTGCGGGCAAGTTGGGCCACAGGGTCAGGCGCAAGCTGGGTTGTCCTTGTTGGTTGAGCTGGTTTCCCTTTCCTATTTTCTTCTCTCTTTCTTTTTCCTATTTCTATTTCTATTCCTCCAAGCTTTAACCCTATACTTGTATACATGTATACTCCCTTAGGGTGGGCCCACTAGGTGAACAGGAGGGTCTTAAGTTAATCTAGGGTTTTGGGTTCAGACACAAATAAGATTTTCTTTATTTAAAAAGTTGATCAAGATTTTATTAATCAAGACATAAGAATCAAAAGAAGCAAATCATGAGTTTTGAATTAATGCAAATGCTCAATCATCTAGTTTAGGATCTACTTGTGCAACTAAGGTATCTTCCTAGCATGTATCACTCACCAAGCAAGGGTCTTTTAAGAAAAGGTTTTGAAAGTTGGGATTTTTGGGTTCTGAAATTTCAGGGTTGTTACAAAGGTTCACAACATCATGAAAAGCTTTTCCAACAAAAATCACCTCAAATGGAGAAGGTTGACTAAACCAGGCTTAGATGGTTTCTTTGTTCAGCATCATAAAAACTTCTCTTCAAAAGTGAAAATCAATCCAAAGTGTAACACCCCAGACCATTAGTAGCATGTAGTAGTTGTGAAGTTGGCCCATGTGGCCCAAGTGACTTATGTGTGGTTGTGATTTGTGCGTTTAGTACCACCTTGGAAGTTTAGGAGAGTGAGGGCCAGTTTATAAGCCTTGTCGTTCCAAATGAAGCACCTTTGGGTTAACCTTTTTACACGAAGCGAGGACGAAAGTGTAAGAGAGGTGCTACGCGTATGCAGGCCCATTCCATGTATGGAGCTGGGCCATATAAGCAGTTTTGGACGCGGTGTGTTATAAATGGTATCGGAGCATCAACTCTTGTTGCACGTGCCCGTGAAGGGGTGTACCAAGGGGTGATCCTGGACATCTGTCACATATATGTGGTGAGCTGTGGAGGGCGTCAGCCCTTAAGGGGGGGGGGGGTGAATGTAACACCCCAGCCCATTAGTAGCCTATAGTAGTTGTGAAGTTGGCCCATGTGACCCAAATGATTTATGTGTGGTTGTGGTTTGTGGGTTTAGTACCACCTTGGAAGTTTAGAAGGGTGAGGACCAGCTTATAAGCCTTGTCGTTCCAATCGTAGCACCTCCGGCTCTGGGTTAATCCTTTTACACGAAGCGAGAACGAAAGTGTAAGCGAGGTGCTACGCGTATGCAGGCCCATTCCATGTGCGGATCTAGACCATATAAGCAGGTTTAGACGCGGGGTGTTACACAAAGGGACTCTGATTGACTTCAAACTTTATAGATGGGTTCCCGACGGTGCTTATAAGCTATCCCCAAAAGATCATCACCTAGAAGATTGACTTCAAACTCTATAGATGGGTTCCCAACGGTGCTTATAAGCTATCCCAAAAGATCATCACCTAGAAAACCAAACCTTGTTGATCTTTGTTTCAATCAATGAATCTCCATGCTCATGAGGAATCTACCCAGACTATTTGGCAGGGATGTTCCTTAGAGGTCCTAGCACGTATCCATCGACTCAAACCATCTTCAAACACGTAGAAACACAAAATCCATCAAAAGTTAAAGAGAGGGGAACCGGGAGGACAAAAAACCAAATCAATTCAAAACACAAGAACTCATGACAAGATCTTGGAAAAGAGATTAAGAGAACAAGATTTCTTTATTGCCAAGATCAACAAGGTCTAGTCTTACACACAGATAGAGGTATCAGTGGGATCTCTCTCAATTCAGACGTTGGCTAGACTTAACCAAAAACTATGCCTAATGACTGAAACAAAGCAGTGGAAGAGATAGGCAGGTTTGGGTAGCCACCCTTCTTATTTATAGAGGATATTACACATTCTAAACCCGTCCCTAAATATTGTGGCTGAACCACTTAACCCTAGGGGCAAAATGGTCCAAGTAGAGATCCGTACATTGGACCACCACGAGCCCTTCACGAAGTAGCTTCGCCTCGACGCGAACTCTCCGGTGACGCCACGTGTAGCTTCGAACTCCCCACCAGGTTTTGAGTCCCAAACCCGCCAAACCGTCTGTCGGTGGTTTTGAGACCTAAACCACCAAACCTAGCTGGAGAAGCATATCCGCTACGCCTCCTCTATGATCTCGACACGTGTCACCATCCGTCCTCAACCCCCCAATCACGAGTCCTTCACACCCCCGTTTGACTTGGTCAATTGCCATATTGACTTAGTCGACACGGTCTACTCCTCCACATGTACACTTGCTTGTCAATGTCCCAAGTGTCAGCTACCCACGGTCAGTCTTCTAGCCCCCGGCCCCTCAGTACTAAGCCTTACGTCCATCCTTCACCGCTCCCAGTCCATCGGCACAAACTCGCTTGACCTTCTCCATAGCAGTTGACCGTCTCAGTGCTCCACATCTGCGCACCACAAGTTAAGAGACATGTTGCACAACACCATACTCACGCAATAGTTACTCTAAACACTAAACTAAAGCTTTATCAACTCCTTGACAATCATTCATCATGTCAACACACATGGGCGCATCTCAGCCATGTATTCGCAGCTATAAAAGAGATTGTAAAGAGTAATTTTATGTTTATATATGTTTTCTCGGAAATGATACTCCTATGTAGAACTGCAGGGTAGTACCCCGAATTCACAATTGTTCATGGAACTATCTATTAGTACGGTGGAAATGGCAATAAATAGCTCAGTCTCTGTCTGAACGTACGTCTCTCAAGTCCCAAATCGACAGTAGTCCAAAGTACATACTGGAGATAGTTACAAGCTAGTATACACAACTATGAACGGCATGAAAGAAAGAGTATAAATCAGACATTACACGTTTAATTAGACCCAGTATTTCTTTGGTTTCTTAATGTTCCGGAGGATAGCTCCTGCAATACTGTAACCCCGGTATTCTGTCAGTTTCTGATTTTCTTGATGCAGATAGATGTAGAACCTTGTGAGAAACAACTGAAAACATGCTTCTTTGGATAAACAAATGTATGGATTTTCACCATTTCTTCATTATATTGACAACACCCTTCACTAGCAAAATTATCGTGCTAATAGTCTAAATGTAACTGGATCGACGTGGGCATCTTCGAAGCTTATACCAAAGAAAAAAAAAAGAATGCACGAAAGAAACAAACTTTACATTCTCAAATAATAAAAATTGGTAATCCCTTGCATGTTGGTAGGTACCCAAGACTTGGGAAGTTGGACTGTTTTTGACAGCAGACTGCTATACTATACTCCAGCGCACTGATGGCCATCAGACATGGCTAGATGCTTCTCCCTGATGGTTGGAGACCAGAAGAGGTGACGCTGTTTCTTTGCTGCTTTGGGAGGCCTTGCTGTTCATGTAGATCGCGTAGATGATCAGCTGGATGGTGCCAAGGATGAAGCCTATCCCATTGGGGATCTGCAGAGGTTCCCAGAGAAACGAAAACGATCAGTGTCAGGAATTTATTACCGGATGGTAAGTGATGAGTAGTCTCTCCGTTACGCGTAACAAAGACTTAAATTACCCCAAGGAAGATGTCTCGGTCAAGCACCGCATACGTTGCCCAGATGCCTCCGTTGAGGAAGAGGAAGAAGGATAGGAAGAACGGCATGAACTCCACGCTCTTGGTGGTGATCACCGTTTTCTGTACGCCACCATGCACATTCATTCATACAAATAATAAATACATTTTGTTGCATATATAAACCTTAGTTGTGTTGCATAAAATGTAAGTACAACGAGATGACGAAATTGGGTATTAAAACAGTAAAATGAGATGCCGGTTATACTAACCACACATCCATTACATTGCAGGGTGATTTCGTCTTGTATTGTTCTAGTCTACTTATGTTAGTTGCTCTGCTTCAGCCTTCAAGTATTCATCAACTCATACCAAGGTGGTTAGGTTCCTTGAGCTGGAATCAACTCACTTGGATTCAAGTATTCAACTTTTTTTTTTGAGAAAATTCAAGTATTCAACGTGGTATGGGTTACTTATATTATCTTAAAAAATTTAGAATTTAAAGCGAGACCCTACATAGTAAACGTCTGTACTTTGTAATTTGCAACAAAGTACTATTAATCAACCCATGTGAAGCAGCAGTATGTGCCATGACCCTGGGAAGGGATGGGGTGGTCTCTGGCTGAATTCGGCGCCACGTACTGTTTTTTTTACATCTCGTTAGAATCTGCTCATATATAGACTCACATCCACCCTACACACCACAATCATACCAAACAGACCTACTAGGGTTCCACCAGAAACTCGTCGCATTGCCTGGCTTCACGCATGAAAGAACAGAATTTTATTTGCGAATGCTGGTATTCGAACTCGCGCCGGCTGCAAACCCACTGGCTGTGCTAGCCATCCGAGCGCTGCTCGGTTCTCGTGTCACTTTCGATGGAACCAATCAGAAAATTCAGAGAGCGAAACCCCATCCGACGAGGCCCACAAGAACAGGGAGGAGGACACAGTGAGCCGGTCGGGCCTGTCATGAAATGTTTTTGGGTCTGCAGGGAGACTACTGTCAACTGTCATGTCGTGCACTCCTACTAGAGGACGCGTGTTCGGTGTTCCTCTTGTCCCTTAAAACAAGAGTGATGTGGATTAAGCCCTTGTTTAGTTGGGTGAATTTGGATTTTAGGGCTACTGTAGCATGTTCGTTTTTATTTGGCAAATAGTGTTCAAACATGGACTAATTATACTCAAAACGTTAGTCTCGCAATTTCCCACCAAACTGTGCAATTAGTTTTTATTTTCGTCTACATTTAATGGTCCATGCATGGGCCGCAAACATTCGATGTGACAGGTACTGTAGCAACTTTTTGGACTTTGGGGTCCAACTAAATAAGGCGTAAAATAAAGAACAGTGTGCAGATAAGGAGTATTTTTTTCAACCAACTAACAGTATTTTTCTCTTATAGCAAATCAGCCAATAATACTTTCAACTATATCTTATCAGCCAAACGAACAGGACAAACACATGTTGCTCATATGATGATTATTTAATTCAGTGCAATACTATACCCCGTTAACTGCCAAGAGAACCAATAACCAGCGAATAATCTTTAAAAAAAGGATAACGATAAAATAATCTTATCTTACGGCAAACTTGATTTTGCAAGAAATAGATACCGTGCAAGAAAGTGCAAGTTGACCAATCTTGCTTATCTCTCATGAAAGCGCAGTTTATAATTACTCTGGATCGAACCGAAGTAATGTTCTCTTTTTGTTTAAAATTAAAATCTAAACATTTTCCTTTTTTATTTTATTTATTAACTGCATGTAAATCATCATTAGTTTCTTTTTTTTCACGACCACGACTTCAAGCGTATTTTTTTAAAAAGAAGAGCCGAAAGAACAGCTTACACAACATAGCTGCAGGAGAACCCACACTGGTTACATAACCACAGAGGGAGTGGTTCAGAACCTAGACGTTGTAATCAGAATTTGGAACTCTAACTATATTTGTGGAAATTCATTCTAACAAATAGTAAAGGCAGAGGGACCAATTTGATTTTGCATGCCAAAGATAGCAAAGGAAAATCTGTCATCCATATCGGCGTGAGGTCACCAACTTTTGTTCGTTCTACGATACAGGCGTGCACGTACGTGCCCCACAACTAGCTATACGTACCGAAATGTAAATTTACTTGTTATACCTAAAAAAGGCTTTAGAAATGATTCATTGAGGTTTATAATATATTATTAATATTATTTATATGAATTTTACGTACAGTTTATGTACCACATATATATATATATTTATTTATACTCTTCCTGCAAGTGGAACTGTGAAAGTGGATCGAGGATCTGCTGAAAATAGAGGAAAACAGGGGCAGATTGAGGATCTACATACTAATTTTTTTTATTGTACAATATCCCTGATACATGATTCTACAGAATATGTCACTATCGCTAATTTCTTGGGGCACATGTCTTTTAATATTTGTTTGGACTTTGTGCTTATTATTTAATAAATAATCATGAAAAGGACAACACAACAAAAAATAATTGCCCCACAAGCTGTCTGTCCATTGTAAACATCAATTATTTGGTCGATGAATTGTGAACACAAATGGATTGCCAGATGGAAAATATCTTGAGGAGCTCTATTCTCATTTATATATATCTCCAAACTTGAACTATACTTATATTAATTTGTGTTGTGGGGCAAGAAGTGCCATGAATATTTTATTAGACCATCGATGGAGTCACTTATATATTTACCATCACATGGAAAATAATGTCATTGCTCAATGTCATCTTCCATGACTTTTGCTGGCCCATTAGCAGTTTCCGGGGGGGGGGGGTTGGTTCTTCACAAAAAAGTAAAAGATGGCGATGTTTCATGGACGTACACAGTCTTAACTATAAAGAGAAAATGAAAGAAAAAGGTGCATCTCAAAATCCACGTACGGCAAACAAATAAAGCATCATTAAAAGGGGAAGAAAAGAGGATTAATTAATTAATATATAAATATGTGAGGAAAAACTTACCATGGCAGCAAGGGGTGACCCGTACATGAGCACATTGAGGCAGGCACATATCATTCCTGTCACCATGATTCTCAAGTCTAATTCATTGACGGCGAATGTGGTGGCCGCAAACACAACTCCAAACCCACCAATGTCCAACGCTGCTGCCAGCTTTGCGGTCTTAACCTGCATAATTATAATTACAATAAAGCAACTATGACTCATAATAAGATGCACGCTTTTCTTAATTAGGGTTTGTTTGGTTTAATAAACGAATGAAGTTCTCACTTTTTGTTTGATTTGGTGGAACGGAATGGTTTGATCCTCCACTACCGTACCTCGTATCTCGTTAGCTAATAACTAGTATAAGCATAGAAGTGAGGTGATTTTACTAGAATTCATAGATGAACCTAAACTACGCTAGATTTGGACATCATTGTCGGCATCATCACTGCCGGATTTATGAGAACCGGCAGTGATGTACTTTCACTGTCGGTTATGAGCTTGAAAATGAGAAAATGATTGGGGCTAGGCTAAAACTGGCAGTGAAGCACCACATTACTGTCGGTTTGTGGCTTCAACCGGCAGTGTTTTTGTGGCCACTTATCACTGTCGGTTCAAGCCACAAACCGGCAGTGATTTGGCTCTATCACTGTCGGTTCTAACCAAGAACCGATGGTGATAAGCCTACAACACAAAAAGGCTGCAACTGTCCTTTTTTTTCTCCTCTCTTCCATCTCAAGAATAGAGGCGCGCGTTTGGGCCCTTCCCTCCATTGTTGCGGCTGCTTGTCACCATAAAGCTAGCGCTTGGATTTTGAAGAATGGCTTGATCTTTTTGTTTTAAGATTAGTAACAAACATTCACTCCTTTGATTTTATTGCTTAATTAGCTTCATTTTGATGGCTACATTGTTTGATTCTCATTCTAGTTCTTTCTCCATTCTAGAGAGCACTTTTTCAATTGGATATTTGTGCAAGGCTCAAATTGTGGTGAATCCATCATCCAAACGGTTGGTGTCTATGAACACATTTAAATTCCTAGCTAATTATTACATGGTGGTCAAGATCATCATTGTTAGTATGTGATGCTATAATTAGTTCTTAGAAGTAGAGTAGAATAGTTGTTCTTCAATATTGTGCAATAATTGTTTTTTACTACGATTTTTAATTTACAGGGCCGGGGCTACCAATTTCAATTTTCCAATAATTAGTGTACAATAATGTTTTCCAAAAATGGTACTTTCGAGCTACAATTGTTGTTCATGAAGCTCGATTTCTTAATAATTCTTTGTAATTACTGTTTTAGTATTTTTTTTGCAGAGATGGATCGAGAGTGGATGCATCTGTCCCGAACGGACAAGCAGTACATGCATGGCGTCAGCCAGTTTATCACCGATGTCAAAGCCCATGTTGGGAATGGGAACACTATCTTCTGCCCATGCAAAGATTGCAAGAATAAAAGAAACTTTCATCAAATTGAGTCTATACGATCGCACTTGATTACCAGGGGGTTTATGCCAAACTATACGATATGGACTATACATGGCGAGGTTGGTGTGAATGTTCTGCAGGAAAACAATGATAATGTGGACATGCCTGACGTAGCCATCCACGATGCTGACGAGGAACCCGATGTCAACACGGAACCTATGGCCACAGTTAATAACATGTTTAGGAACACGCTAGCTGACGACACTGGGGATAACGATGGCATTTCTCAGCTGCTACGTAATGTAGAGACTGGTTGTCTTAGTGAAAGACAACTGAAAAAGCTAGAGAAAATGAGACAAGATGGCAAAACACCATTGTATAGGGATTGTCCAATGAGCAAACTGGAAGCCGACATCATGCTGTCAGAGTTCAAATCGACAAACGGATTGAGCGATAAAGGCTTCGATCAGTTGTTAGGTATAATAAGAAAAATGCTCTCAGAAAAAAATGAGTTGCCAGAAAAGACATACTTGGCCAAGCAAATGATCTGCCCCATCGGCTTCAAGGTTGAAAAAATCCACGCGTGTTCCAATGGTTGCACATTGTACCGTGGAGAAAAATACAAAGACTTGGACAAGTGCCCCAAGTGTGAAACTCCACGGTACAAGGAAGGGCCGTTAGATGAGGGTACCAAGACCAGAGGAGGTCCCATAAAAGTCGTTTGGTATTTCCCTATAGCTCCCCGGGTGCATAGGCTGTTTGCATGTGCAAAGTCAGCCAAGCTGTTGTGCTGGCATGGTGAAGAGCATAAGAAAGATACAATGATGAGGCACCCCGCCGATGGGCATGACTATAGAACTGTCAATACTATGTTCTATAAGGATATCGGTGAAGAGGTAAGGCACCTTTGGTTTGCTTTGAGCACAGATGGGATGAATCCTTTCGACCAGATTAGAAGCAATCATAGCACCTGTCCAGTGATGCTCTATATATACAACCTTCCACCTTGGGTCTGTATGAAGCGGTCATACATCCAGATGCCACTACTGATCCAAGGGCCAAGACAACTTGGGAATGACATCGATGTGTTTCTGGAACCAGTGATCGATGAACTAGTGGAGATGTATGAAAAGGGTGTGCCGGATGTTTGGGACGAGTACAAAAAGGAACATGTCACGATCAAGGGAGTACTTATTGCAACAATCACCGACCTGCCAGGTCGAGGTTCGTTGTCCGGAGAGAAGACAAAAGGCTATACTGGATGTGTCGAGTGCTTGGACGACACCGATGCGGTACATCTACCAAATAACTCAAAGATAGTTTATATGGGACACCGTAGGTTCCTACCTAAGGATGACCCTTACCGCAGAAACAGAAAAGATTTTAATGGTACTATTGAGAAACGCTTAACTCAAAAATATCGAGACGGGCCTGCGATACTTCGAGAACTCAACAAACTGGAGGTTGTCCTTGGGAAGGGGGACAATGCAGTAGCAGTGTCTGATGGGAACGTTTGGAAGAAAAATCAATTTTCTAGAAACTACCTTACTAGCCATTCTTGAGTGTACGCCACTGTCTTGATCCCATGCACATCACTAAAAATGTGTGCGCTAACACTCTTAACACCTTGATGGACACCGGGGGGACATCGAATGATTCACTAGCCACACGTCTGGACATGCAACACTTGGGAATAAGGAAGGAGCTGCATCCCGTGGAGCTAGAGAATGACCAGTTCAAACTTCCGGCTGCGTCATGGACATTGAAGAAGGAAGAAAAGCATGAGCTTATTTCTTTCTTCAATGAACTCAAAGTCCCGATGGGCTACTGTGCGAACCCAAAGAGGCTAGTGAACATGAGAGAACTCAAGTTCAACTATGGCCCTATGAAGGCCCATGACTATCATGTCATTATGACTCAGCTGCTCCTTGTTGCCCTGCGTGGTATCCTCCCCCCAAAGGTCCGCGCCCCAATCATAAAGCTTTGCTCGTTCTTCAACGCAATCTTGAAAAAGGTCATTGATATGTCCACACTAGAGCAGCTGCAGCGGGACATAGCCGAAACTCTCATTAGGCTTGAGATGCATTTCTCGCTGACTTACTTTGATATCTCATTGCATCTGCTCATTCATCTTGTTGACCAAATTAGAGCCCTTGGCCCAATGTACCTGCATCAGATGTTCTCTTTCGAAAGATTGATGAAAGTTTTTAGGAGGTATGTTAGGAACAGATTCAGGCCAGAAGGGGACATGGTTGAAGGATGGTCAACGGAGGATGCCATTGAGTTCTGCACATATTATCTAGACATCAAAAGGGTTAGAGTTCCAGAATCTTGTCACGAGGGAAGACTACGTGTCAAAGGAACGATTGGGGAGAAATCTGTTACAGTAGATGACCCTATTTCTTTCAGACAGGCACAGTTCGCTGTTCTCCAGTAAGCCAAGGGTGTGATGCCATACATTGATGAGCACAGACAATCGCTGCAAACTCTGTATCCATGCAGGTCACAGGCTTGGCTGGATAAAAAAACATAAGGGGGAATTTGTCAACTGGTTGTGACGTCGCTTGCTTGGAATAAAGTTAGGTACATATCTTAAGTACCAAGGGTATGAGATCAATGGATTCACATTTTATACAAAAAAGCAAGATGGAAAGAGCACATACCGAAATTGTGGTGTTTGTTTTGATTCTCATGATGAAAATGGCAACGTGCAGGTGACATACTATGGTTTCATAGAGGAGATATGGGAGCTAGCCTACGGTCCATTGAAGGCAGCTCTTTTTCGCTGCTAGTGGGTCCGGCTCTAGGAAATCAACACTGACAGCGAAGGGTTCACTACCGTTGATCTCACTAAGACTGCATACAGAGACGACCCCTTCGTTCTTGCAAGAGATGTTATGCAAGTCTTCTATGTAAGGGACAACAAGATAAAAGGAAGGCTAAAAGTAGTCCTAGAAGGAAAAAGGAAGATTGTCGGTGTCGATGGAGTGACGGACGAAGAACACTACAGGGGCTATCAGGAAATGCCTCCATTCGGGGCGAACGTACCCCTACCTATCTTTCAAGAGGGTGACGAACCTGCTTACGTACGGCTTGATCACAATGAGGCTCTCATTGTTGATGCACGTAAAGATAGGTAGATTATTGTTAACTATGTAATCATTATGCACATAACCGTGAAGGATGTTTGATCCTGATGAAACTCTCATCTCCTCTCTCCTCTTCGTTAATACTCTACCAACTCAGCAAATATGCCAACGTATCATAGCAATTAATGAGAATGAAAGTTATTTAAAACTACCATTGAGACTGACCTTATTACTATTCAAACACTCGATTAGACACCGGACATAACATTTCTAAACTTTACTCTCTAAATTTAAACACCATCTAAATATAAATATAAATATATATGTCTAGTCTTCCGATAGAGGGACATTGGGACGACCATTCTCTTCCGAGCTACTACTAGTTGTGAGGGATCCATAGCTCCTTGGTGCCACTGGTCCCCAACCAGTTTGTAGTCCCTGCTCGCAATACTCGAAGGAGCCCAACCCACAATAGGCATTGAGCAAAGGTGTAGTAGCTCCAACCTTCATTGATCATTGATGTATGTGCTCCTAGAGATGTGAATGGGAATGCCTGTGGCTTGTGTGTTGACTGTTGAGTGATCCATTTACTTGATGTGTGTACTGTTCCAGTCTCCAGATCAGGCCGAGATGAAGAGGAACGCTAAGAAGGCCACAGAGAAAGAAGCTGC